GAAACGATTTACGGTCTATGAGGACAAATGTCGAAATTGTGAAGGTCAGTAAAGGGAAATGTGCGTATGTGTGTGCGTGTGCGCATATGTGTCTGTGTTTGTTCGTTATATCGTATTTATGATTTATGCTTATGAATTGTCGTGGAGGAAAAAATGCGAGACAATGAATGTTCATTAAAGTTATGAGCCAAATGAGATATGGCGAGAACATAATTCAATCAAAATTGTTGTTGGAAAATGGAGTAGGTTCTTTTACGGAAAATAAGGAAAAATTTCGTTAAGGTCATTGGATTAACGATGTTTTTCATCATGAGAATAACATGTAAGCCTTGTTGTAGATTCAAATATGTCGCCTTATAGGTAGTACATAAAAACGTTGATATGTATATAAAGGGGTATAATGTAACATCTTCAAAATACCGTATATAGGTAAGTACCGTTATATCGGAGCTATACGAAGACCTGGACCGTCGTAGACAATTTTCTGTCACTGGAGCATCGATTACGAACTTCAAGTACCAAATTTGAAACAATTCCGGTGAATAATGTCGCTAAAATCATCAAAATACCGAATATTGGGAGGTACCGTTGTATGGGGGCTATATGAAAACGTGAACCTACATGAACCTACGAACTTAACCTGCCTACTGGCAAAATAAAGATGTGTGCAAAATGTTAGCCTTCTATCTCAATTCGATCGAAAGTTAGCGTGATTATAACAGACGGACAGACAGGCAGATGAACATCGCTAAATCGACTTAGAATTTTACGCTGATCAAGAATATTACTTTGTTGGGTCTGACATGAGTATTTCGAGGAGTTACAAACGAAACAGCAAAGTTAATATACCCTCCATAAAATGTTGGAGGGTATAAAAAATAAACTAAGCAAATGGATAATTTAAATTATAGCCAAAACGGTTGGTTTTAAAAATACTTCAAATTTAGGGTTACTATTAGATTTGCGATATGCCGGAACATATAAAAACAGGATATCTGTTTGAAATAGACTTTTTCTCGTAATTATCCCATGGTGTTAAATTCCAGCCCATTCTCTTGGGACAATGTGACTAAAACTCCCCAACAAATTTAAGTGAGCCACCAAAGGTGTTTTCAAAATCACTTCCATACTCAATCCTAGATACCAACAGGGGCCTTAATATCAAATTTAAGGATTCCAGCCCTATCCTTTTATCAAATACTAATTTTGGTACCATTTAGGGATTTTCGTACATATATAGGACGTATTTATAAAACACCACCAAATCTCTAAGACAGATACCATCAATAATCTAAGTATCAAATTTCAGAACTCTTTTCCATCAACAAATACCAAGTTTAGTACTATTTAGTGCATTTCGTACAATTATGTAGTGCTTTTTGTACACTTGTAGAACACATTTCCAATGTTAACTCCTTATCTCTACTGTAGATACCAGAAGAGACCTCGAGATCAAATTTGAGGATTCCAGCCCTATCCCTTCGCCCATTACCAAATTTGGCACCATTTAGTGATTTTCGTACAAATATACGACGGATTTCTAAACCACCGCCAAATCTCAAACACATATGGGGGCTACGATCAATAATTTAAATATAAAATTTGAGAATTTTAACTCCAAAACCAAATTTAGTACCATTAAGAACATTTCGTACGATTATGGTACCCATTTCCGAAATCAACTCCATATGTCTCGGCTACAGTGGCCCTAGTACCAAATTTCAGATTTCAAACTCTATCTGTTCACCCAATTCCAACTTATTATATATGGTATAGTACTATTTAGAATTTATAGTACATATATTACATATTTTCAAAACCACCTCTATATCTCAATTCCTGATACCTCAGTTGTCAGTTCAAAATAAATTTCAGAATATAAGCCTTATTCTTTCATCCGATACCAAATTTAGTACTTTTCGTACAATTATAGTACACATTTCCAAAACTACCTCCATATCTCAATTCCAGATACCAACAGAGACCTCAATATCAAATTACGGTATCACACCTCTATCCGTTAACCCAATACCCAATTTAGTAGCACTAAGTATGTTTCTTACAATTGTAGTACACCTTTCCAAAACTACCTCCATATCTTAAACACAGATACCAACAGAAACCTCAATACCAAATCTAAGGATTCTAGCCATATCTCTTCACCTAATATCAAATTTTTTACCGTTTAGTGCTTTTCTTATAAATACAGGACGCATTTTTAAAATCACCCAATCAATCAATGTCAAATTTCAGGATATAAGCTCTATTCCTTCGCCCAATACCAAATTTAGAACTTTTTTAAACTTTTCGTACAATTATAGGACGGATTTCCAAAACCACTTCCATTTCCCAATTTCCGATACCAACAGTCCCTTTAAATATCAAGTTGGAGCATTCCAGCCATATCCCTTCAGCCAATACTAAATATAATACCATTTAGTACTTTGTACATTTATAAAGCACCTCCACCTTCAGGGTTCCATCCTTATCGGTTAGCCCAAATACCATTTGCATCAAATTTAGTACAATTTATTACACATAAGTACGAATTTCCAAAACTGCCTGTTCTCTGTTCCTCCATATTCAAATTGTACCAAATTTAGTACCGTTTTGTGCTTTTCGTATACATGAGTACACACTTTCAAACCTGACTCCTTACACGGACCCCAATCCTCAATCTTGATTCCCAATCCAAATTTCAAGCTTTTAGCTCTAACCGTTCACATGAAACGAAATGGTACCAGTATATCACATTTCAGTATTTTCCTTACACTTATAGTGCTAATTTCGAAAAATCCTTACTCTATCAGTGACCCTCATTCCAAATTTAAGAGCTATAGCTCTACTGGTACGTCAAATGCAAATGGTATCATATGTAGTACCTTTTAATAGCTTTCGTAACGTTATAGTACGAATTGCTAAAAGACTTAGTCTTATCTGAAACTTCCGGATCAAAAATGACCCTCACCCAGGATTCTATCTTCAGCAGTTTCGTTTGGGCGTTGATGAATCATCAAGTCCGTCAATCACTTTACTCTTTTATTAATATAGATAAACGAGCATAAGCTGAGTGTATGCGTCTGTCGGCAAAACCGACTGACAAGTTTTACTTTCTGAAAACGTTGACTGGCTCCGATATTGCCCATATTTGAGCTCGAACTAAGTTTGGATCAAATCAGACTATAGGAGGGGTCGTCATTGTTAACTAGACGCCAAATGTTTTCAAATAAGTTTCTCAATAAGCGATATAGGGTCTTTAACTGCAATCTTGATGGGGGACATTTAAATGTTTCATCGTCTTACAAACTTCTCGAATTGGGCATCCGAAATTGGCATCTACCCTCAAACTGTGACTTGCAACTTGAATAGACAACAACAGCCCGAAGCCTTTTGTCATTGCACCGATGTGACAAATATATTTTGTACTTCTCTCTTATTTCAATTCTGTGTATTTTTATTTTAGATTCGAAACTACACAACAACAAAAACTAAGCCACAGCCGGTAAAACAACAACAATTTACCGCAAATTTAATAACATAGATATTTTGCGAATGCGTAAATCTTTGGAATAGTTTCTTACAGTGGTATACCTATTCAGACATGCATACATATGTACATGTGTTCTATATGGTTTAAGAACACACACACACACACACAAATGCACACATGCCAACTCATCTCAAAAAGTCTTAAAAGTTTTCTCGCAAGTTAAAACTTTGAAGAAGATATATCCCAACGAAGGAAAGAATCAGATAAAACAAGACAGGGCATAAAGTGTAACTTCTCCTGAGTCCTCAAGAAGGTGTGGGGGAGGAAGAAATCTTTTTTCAAGTGAAGTCAATCAATTCAAAGTTGTTAAAACTGGATGGAAAAAGTTTTTGTGTTCTTTTTTTCTACTACCTCTCCCACCCTTTCTTTCTCTCTCTCTTTAGGTGAAAAAGGAGTTACTGCTGCTGTTGTTTGACAAAATGTCATACAACAAACCGGAAACCGATTTAATTACTTACATATGTTTGTATGTAGACAAACACACACACTTACATTTAAGAATTTCTTGGTTGTGTTTATACAATGTTATTTGTTTATGGGCGTAAAAGACAAGCTTGCTTGAGGAAGCGGCAACACCGAATGTGGTTATCTTGGGAAATTGTTTTGTACAACAGCTGTAATGGAATTACAAGAAATGATTGAGAGTGCTTCTGCGGTTCGGTGAGGCACTATGGAACACTATATGACAAATGTAGTGTGGTAAATGTTTTTGGAAAATATGTTTTGGACCAATTTTATTCATTGCAAAAAAACATAGATATAAAGAAGTGAGTTGTAAGAAAATTTGGCCAGACCATGGAAGCTAACAACTCTTTAAAATTCAGAATGGAAAAATACGACCAATTTTTTTTTTAAAAATTGGTGAAAATCTTTGATGCAGCTATTTATTGAAACTTAACTCAAAACTTGGATTTCTCATGCAATTTTTTGGAAGTACCCTAATAAACTAAATCACAATTACTTCCAGAATCAAATCTTCCGAAATTCAAAACTGAGCAATACCATCATATTGGGTCTTTACTAATATGTGGACCTGATTTTGATTCGATTTTACCCTTGGTGGCTCTTTTGAAAATCTACAAATAGGCGAAGGTTTTACTTATGTGGTCATATTTTCTCATCCTGAAAATTGCAGGACTAAAAAAAAAAATGAGACCATTTATATTACCACAAATAACTAATGCTATTTAAAGATCTACAGTCATAGATAAAGATCTACAGCTGTAGTTTTAACACAAGGATGATATTTTGAAAAATAGAACAGTGTTGGTTAAAAATAACTTCTACGACAAAAAAAAACTTTATTTACCCAAGTGACGAGATCGTAAGCAATAATGGGATTAAGCCTGACCATTTTGCAACACTGAAATTTTGAAAAATAGTTAATCATAGCAATCAAAACTTTCACTATTGATGCTGTTTGCGCCAATGCGGGGAAAGATGCAAAGCTCAACCAAACAAAATAGAATAAAAACACAATAGGGGGGTTTTAGTTTTAAGAATAATGGCAAAGGCCGTATTTATTAATAATAATAATAAATAATAATAATAATTGGTAAGACAGATTACCTGATTTGCACAATAGCGGGGGAGCGCGACTTCGTATCGAGCGATAGAAGAGACGAGTGTAATCAACGATCAAAACATGAAGGAAGGTGGAGGCTTTGGCGCCATTCGCCACTCGTTGAAATCTGTTTACATTTATGTTGACAGATCTAAACGAGGTTAATCATTTACAAATTAATTATGCGTTAACCCATTGTTAACGTTACAAACAAATAATTACCAATCTAAATTAAACATGCCGCCCACCTTGCAACATATTGAGATGTTGTAACTAAAATACAATAATAAATACATTTTTTCAACTTTTTTTTTTTTATTCAATTTCAATTTAATTCAATTTTTTTTTTTTTATTTCTCAATTCATTTAATTTTTTTTTTCAAAAACATTGTGTAACACTATATGTTACATATGCCCGACAATACCCACCCAAATATGGTGTAGTGGGCTATCGGCAACCCTGGCGTCGCTTGCACCCGATGAGTTACGACCCTGGCATAAACTTCCGGCCCGAGTACCAAGGCCACCCGACCAGGCCTATTAAAATCGGGATCTGCCAAAGGAAGACCTAAAAATGAGTCACGAATGCGCTCGGGGATTACCGCTGTAGGCGTAAGCGCATGGTCCAAATTGGTTACCACAGCCACAATTGAAATGGACTGACTCCGGTCATAGATCGAACTAACGGTCAGCCGACATATTTGGCTACCTTCGATTCTAGAAGTAGGGAGTCGAAGATTATGCACCAAAGAGGAACATATCTGACTCTGCCTACTACACGGGTCCAAAACCGCCCTCACAATAGTGGGTCGATCGGACGACATAATTTTGACTATCAAAGTCGGGGATAGGCAGATACCTGTTTGGAGGGACAACAAGCCGACCAATCCTATCTGCGAGGGGGGAGCGTTATCAGACGGACGACTATACGGACTGTTACGTGACCGATACCTATACTCGGTCCGCGGACGACGCTGACGATTATTAGTGGGTTTAACCACGGTCTTCGTGTCTTCATGAAGGAGGGTGTGGTGTTCTTCATTGCATACGGCACATTTTCTTTTGCTTCGGCAGTCCCTAGCTTGGTGGGATTTAGATAAACACCGTATGCAGTCATTGTATTTTAGGACAATGCGACGTCGCATGTCAACATTCATAACCCGGAAGTCACTACATCTATCCAGCGGGTGCATGCGATCACAAAGTCGACATTTATGTGAGGCCGCAGATGAAACCTTATGGGTTTCGGACCTTAAATTCTTTTCCGACTCCTCCAAATGAGGTGTGGCAACCGGAGCCGCAGATGGACCCGAAGATCCGGACTCGGTTTGTAATGTATCATTTTTGGGGGGTGAATCAAGAACCGGAGCCGCAGATGAATCCGTTGCTATGGATTCGGACTCGGTTTGCATCGGTTCAGCGAGGGCCGCAGATGAATCCGCTTTATCGGATTCGGACCCACGTTCTGAGATTTTTACAGCCGCGATCGGCTCAACAAGGGCTGCTTCCACTGCAGCTGACGACATTCCAGCTTGGGGATCGGTGGGCCGAGGTTCATTATAATCAAAACCGTCATCAACATTCAAAAGTTCTTCTTCCGAATAGATTTTCACCGACATACTATATAATGAGAAGAGAACAATATTATTCGTTTGCGGGAGTGTGGTCGGTCAAAACGACCAACTTTGTAATGGGCCGTCTTACAACGCCGTTTTCCGTTCGAACGTCCGCGACTCTAACATGACCGTCGGTGCCCGGAAAAACATTTTCTATACGCCCTAATTTCCACGACGTTGGGGGAAGCTGATCATGACGAACAACGACTAGATCGCCAATCGCCATTTCTCTTTGGGGAAATTTCCACTTATATCTCATATGCAACTGCTTGAGATATTCATCTTTCCACCTTAAACTAAACTGGTGGGCAAGGGCCTGAACTTTCCTAAACCGATTAATTAGACTTAATGGTTGCTCTGTGATGAGAGGTTCAGGCGGGGCTAACAAGGGGGCACCAATCAAGAAGTGACCTGGCGTCAATGCAACGATTTCTCCTGGATTATCCGACATTGGACACAACGGCCGAGAATTAAGACAAGCTTCGATCCTAGCCAATACCGTTGCTAATTCTTCAAACGTGAATTTTAAATTTCGAGATTGCTTCCGAAAATGTAACTTGAAGCTCTTGACTCCAGCTTCCCATAACCCTCCCATGTGAGGGGCACCAGCAGGTATAAAATGCCATGATAGTCCCTGGTCTGATAAAGACGAGGAGGCGGAGTCAGCGCTTTTTTGGAGGAAATCTTTAAAATTTCTTTGAAGTTCACGCGATGCTCCAACAAAATTTGTTCCATTATCCGAAAAAATGGAATGGGGACAACCACGTCGAGCAATAAATCTATGTAACGCAGCCAAAAAATTAGCAGTCGACAAATCGGACACTGCTTCCAAATGAATTGCCTTTGTAGAGAAACATACAAAGACACATACATAGCCCTTTGTTATTTTACAAGACCGACCTAGATACGATTTTACATCAAACGGACCTGCGAAATCCACACCAGTGTTTGTAAAAGGTCGATTAAGAGTTGTTCTCTCAGGGGGAAGGGCAGCCATAAATTGACTGCAAGCACGTTTCTTCAACAGAAGGCACACTTTACAGCGACGAACAACCAGCCGAACCAAACTTTTCATACGCGGAATCCAATATTCCAACCTCAAAGTTCGCATCATTAACTGGATATCACCATGAACAGATTTTTGGTGGGTATATTCTACCAACCGTAGAGCAAAGGCACTCCTATAGGGGACAATTATAGGACTACGTTCCGAAGGTGCAAGTGTGGGCGAATTTACCAGTCTACCATTCATTCGCATGACACCATTGTCATCTAGGAAAGGATTGAGAGGAGCCAACAAACTCTTACTATCTAACGCCTTCTTGTCTAACAGATTCTTATAATCGCTGACGAAATATATTTTTTGGGCCGTAATTGCACAATAATTACGTGCGTCAATAATCTCTGCCGAGGAAATGCGTCTAGTGGGATAGTAGTAATGGTTTCTATACCGGGGATGTGTTTGACGAATAAATCGAAACGCGTATACAATGAAGTGAAGAGCTCTACGCAAACAAGAAAAGTCTTCCAAAATCTCTTTAAATGTCGACGGAAAGAAAGCAAAGTGACATTTAACGGGGCGCATTTCCATTTCAGTACTAATCGGAGCCAGATCACGAATGGACCATTCCGATTTAGTTTTACCTAGCCACCTAGGACCGTTCCACCATAGGGGGGAGGCTGACAATTCTATCGGAGACAATCCTCGACTTCCTAAATCAGCAGGATTATCTTCAGATTTAACATGGTACCAATTATAATTGCCAACATTTTCTTGGATTCGACACACCCTATTGGCTACAAAGGTCGTCCAAGTAGAGGGGGTTCTCTTCAACCAGGCAAGAACTATAGTCGAATCTGTCCAACAATAAATTTGATTAAATTCCAGATCTATTTCCCGCACAATAGTTTTCAATAGGTCTGATGCTAAAACTGCTCCACAAAGTTCCAAGCGAGGAAGCGAAATTGATTTCAAAGGGGCAACTTTCGTTTTGCACGACAGCAAATTAACGAAGATTTTTCCATCGGGGGACTCGACACGTATATATACTACCCCCGCGTATGCCTTTTCCGAGGCATCGGAAAAGACATGAAGCTCAACAGAAAATCCTGGAACATATTGAACCCATCTAGGTATCCTAATCGAGTTAACATGCGGATATGTTTCGACAAAACTTCTCCATTCAGCCTCAGTAGCTGCCAGAAGTTGATCATCCCAACCAATGTTGTCCAGCCAAATCTTCTGCATTATCATTTTCGCCCTAACAATCACAGGGGCCAACCAACCGACAGGGTCAAACAATTTCGCGATTGCCGAAAGAACTTCCCTTTTAGTGAAGTGTTTATTGACAATAGGACTCACTTCGAAGAAGAAACAATCTAAACGCGCATTCCACCTAATACCCAGGGGTTTAGAAGTACTAGCTTCTACAAACGATAAAAGCTGAGCATCTACCAAATGCTCAGGGGGGAAGCGATCCAAAATAGCTCTACTATTCGCTGTCCATTTTCGCAGCTCGAACTTTGCCGACGATAGTGCCCTAATCAACTGGTCCCTAGCTGCCAATGCAGTCTCGATGTCATGAGCTCCTGCCAAAACGTCATCAACGTACATACATTTTCGCAATATATGCGCCGCGAGGGGAAACTCTGACTCAGTATCATCGGCCAGTTGAAGAAGCGTTCTAATCGCTAAATATGGTGCACAATTTACACCGAACGTCACTGTCTGTAGTTCGTAATCTAGGACCTGTTTTGTTGTTGAATTCCGATACAAAATTCTCTGAAGGGGCGAATGCTTTGAATCTACACGAACTTGCCTATACATTTGAGTAATGTCCGAGTTAAACACGAATTTGAAGATACGCCAACGGAGGATCAAAAGAACTAAATCTTGTTGTAAAGTTGGGCCTACGTGCAATATGTCGTTAAGACTCTGCCCATTCGACGTTTTATTCGAGGCATTGAACACTACTCTAAGTTTCGTGGTCTGTTTTGCTAGGTTTATGACGGGGTGATGTGGTAGATAACACGAAAGGACATCCATAGAAGTATTTGCGGGTACCGGCCTCATGTGGTCAAGTTCCAAATATTCCGATAATACCTGGTCGTAAACTAGTTTTAATTCAGGCTTTTTCAATAGAGAACTCTCATTCCGATAATATTGTTTGAGGACGTTCGCTCGAGACTCTCCCAAATACCCGATAGCGCTAATCTCAGATTTAAGTGGCAGCGTAACTATATACCTACCCTCTGAGTCCCTACGAGTAGTCCGGGCGTAATTATCCTCACAAAAACGGTCCGATGGAGATAATATTTTGCGTTTAGGAGGTTCTTCGATTTCCCAGAATCGCAAAAGGGTCTGTTGGATTTTGTCTTCCTCTGCTACATCGACAGTAGTGGCAAATGTTCGAACTTGTGTGGCTGGGACAGGACCCGTAACAAGCCAACCAAATACAGTATTTTGAGCAAGCAATGCTCCAGACAAAATGGGACGACAACCATCTAACAATATTTTTGGATAAAGATCAGCACCTAACAGCAAATCGACGGGACGAGATTCAAAAAGGTTAACATCTGCCAAGCGAAGATCGGGAATTTGTGACCTTAAGTCGGAATTAACCACAAACGAGGGAAGATTTCCAGAAATGGCACGCAAAACTAAAACGTTGGTTTCCAATTTCAGAGAAGGGTCGAAAGGACTGCTAATTTGTAAACGACAAGCTTTATTAGCCGTGGCCGAGAGTGAACAACTAACTCCTGAAATTACAGCATTCGTAGAACGCGCAGGGAGCTTCAAACGAGTTTGGAGTCTCTCTGAAATGAAAGAGGACTCGGAAGCAGGATCTATTAACGCCCTGGCAGTAAATGAAACACCTAGATGAACAATATTCACCATTGCGGTACCTAAGAGTACAGCCTTGTTCTGCGCGGCGTGAAATACTTGTCGGGGCAAGCAACCGGCGGATGTGCCTGGCGCGCAATTTTCTGAATTAGGGGGGACAGTCGAAGGCGTAGCACTCGAATTTCTGGGGGCATTGCTAGTAACAGTGGAAGTTCGATTTGAATTACTAGAGGTAATATCATCCCGATGCAACAACGTATGGTGGGACTTGTTACACTTCGAACACCGACGTTTGCTATCACAATTCTTAACTTCGTGATCGTTCCTAAGACAGTTGATACAAAGATGATGACGTTTCATTACTTTGTATCGATCAGCGGGTGTGAAACTCTTAAAGCGGGGACAGTCATACAATTTATGACGTTGATTTTGACAAATTAAACAATTTGAACCTTTCGAAGCGCGGGGAGAACGCGGTGGCTCTGGAATTCTGATATTTGAATGATGCGCTTGAACTTTACTATTATTTGACCGCTTAGACTGATCTGTAGCACGCATATCATGGAGGCACATGAGCGTACGTATGCGCTCAGTGAGAAAGGCATCCAAGTCCTTCCAGGACGAAAGAGAAGATTTATCCTTAACACTCTGCTCCCAAAGAGTCTGAGTAATTTTTGGCAATCTCTGGAGACACAAAAATACTAATATCGGATCCCAATTTTCCGTATTGACATCATACACGGACATCGAAGACAGGCATCCATTGATACCACGTTGGATCGACTTTAATCCCGAACTAGTCTCACTATAGAGGACCGGAATATCAAACAAAACTTTCAATTGGTTATGAACCAGTAGCCGAGGGTTATCATAAGTTTCAACTAGAGCCTTCCACGCGAGCTCGAAACTACGATTAATTAAGGGGAACTTCGATACAATCTCGCGAGCTTCACCAGAAGTCTTTCTAACCAGATGACAAAGTTTTTCAACGTCGGTAAGACGACCATTAACAATATATATAGCCGTAAACAAATCCCTAAATGTTGGCCATGAGTGGAAATCACCTTCAAATATGTCCGTATCGCACGGCGGTAGGGCAAGGTTATGGACACAATCCAAATGAGAAACTTCCTCTGTAGTTCTAAAACTGGCACTATTATTTCTCACAATAGAGGAAAGCGGAGTTTGTATCTGCGAATGATCGCGGGAAGCATGAGTCGAAGTACTCAAATTGTTGCCCGTAGCTTGCGAGTTTTGTATGGGCGACTTAGCTGAAGTCTCGCCCGGCGTTTCTATCAACGAGGCAACCGAACCACAAAGACTACCATTAATAGAGGAAGTACGATATTTTTTGAATTGCCCTAGCTTTCTATTAATTGCGGACTGGCAGTCGACATAGATTTGAAATGACGAATTGTATTTCTGATCAACCGCATCGATAACTTCTTTCGTCGTCTCTACTGACGACATCATATAATCACAGCACTTTTCAAATTTGTCCTGTGCTTGCGTCCAAAGTTTTTCTAATGCACTAAGATGAGACTGTAGCGCATGAATATCGAGCTGGTCATCACGCATCGTATTGAAACGAGCATTAAACTGGATGACCGCATCCGAAGTTCTAGTGAACATATCAATTGGGGTGAATGACATTGTGAATAAATTTCCCGAAATCTGTACTACAAAAAGCAAGAAGGGAACGACTAAAGCACGATTTGCTCAGATAATTTATACAAAATCCACGAATTACTGATTCTTCTTCGCACAATATACGAAGAAAACACAAAAGTTTATACAAAAACTCCAAAAGTTTCAAAAAATCAACCGAGTTTTTCCAAAGTTCAAGAAAAATACCGAAAAGCTTCCGAAAATCTAACAAAACCGCACTATAGGGCCAAAGAAATCGAAAATTTTCGAGAAATAAATGCCTTGAACCTCTCACACAATAGTGAAATATCAAAAAACCGGTCTAAAATCACCAAAATTGTAATCTCCGCTGAGATATTTAGCAACCAAATGCAAATATACAATGAAAAATATGTGAAAATGTTCAAATAAATAATAAAAATATCAAATATATATTCAAAGAAATATCAATATATAATAAAAAATTGTTAAATTGTGTAATTTTCCAAAAAAAAAACGTATTTTCGCGCACAAACAATTCAAAATATTCAAATTTTTATTATTTTCTACCGAAAATATTGAGATTTTATTATTTTTATTTCCACAGTTAACCTACTATTTAGGCAATCCAACTACCAAATGTAGCGTATTCTCAAAAAATAAATTTTAAAAAATAAAAATTTTATTTAAAATCTCCAAAAGTAATTAAAATTTTGAAATTCCAAACGAAAAAAATCAATTTTAACACTTTTTATTTAAAAAAGTCGTATTGACCGATCGTAGGGTGTACGCGTTATTAATTTTTCAAAAACGTCGTTTTCTGACACCCAATTATCATTCAATAATAATCAAAAATAAAATTTGAAAATTTTTAATATTTTATGTTGGTTCCGTTTATCGAGGTTCACCTGTAAAATATGCTAAGTTGCGTTTATCGAGGGTCACCTGTAACACAACAGACAATACCAAACGTATGTATGTATGCGTGTGTGTGTAAAGCGGCTGACCGACTAAGCCAAATGATGACCGCTAACGCGCAACAATAACAAACAAACCAACGTAATTGAAGTAAGTGTATTTTTGGGGGTGATTTGTGAAAAATATTTTAAATATTAAAAATGCAATTTTGCAAAAAATTTAACAATTTTAAAATTTCAATTATACCAATCGATGGGGAATTTTATGCACATTAAAATGACACCGCACAACAATATTTTATTTTCAACAGAAATTCCAAAAAATACACTTTTTCTTCAATTATTTTGATTTTTCTTTATTTTCAATTTGCCGTCGGCAAAACAATATTTGCAAACTAGACGGAGGGGACGGGGTAAGCGACGCGTTGTAAGACGGCCACAAGGAATATCAACGACGCGATTGTTGTTGTTTTTACACAATTTGTTTTTTTCTTTTCTCTTCAAGAAAATTATTTATTTAAATTCACCGGCACTTTTTTCACTGTACGTACCTGATTGTTTTTGATAGAAACACGATGATGATGTTAAGGAGATGATGTGGTGGACTGTATAGATGGTGATGATGATGTTTAGCTTTGCAATTAAAGAAAAAAAGAAGAAAACGATTACTTCTTCTACCAACAGCTCGTTCGTAATCCGGTACGAATGGACCAATGTTTGCGCCAATGCGGGGAAAGATGCAAAGCTCAACCAAACAAAATAGAATAAAAACACAATAGGGGGGTTTTAGTTTTAAGAATAATGGCAAAGGCCGTATTTATTAATAATAATAATAAATAATAATAATAATTGGTAAGACAGATTACCTGATTTGCACAATAGCGGGGGAGCGCGACTTCGTATCGAGCGATAGAAGAGACGAGTGTAATCAACGATCAAAACATGAAGGAAGGTGGAGGCTTTGGCGCCATTCGCCACTCGTTGAAATCTGTTTACATTTATGTTGACAGATCTAAACGAGGTTAATCATTTACAAATTAATTATGCGTTAACCCATTGTTAACGTTACAAACAAATAATTACCAATCTAAATTAAACAGATGCAGAGGGTATATAATATTTAATACTGCCAAATAGTGTCTCAAAGAAATAAAGGTCCATAGGTCTCCACAAAATCTATTTCTAGAGATTTGGAAACGATCCGGCCTTATCCTCCCGTCACTCTGTTCATATGAATGGAAGCACACCATGACTCTCGAAAAGAGCATCCAATTTCGTCCATTTTTGAAACATCGTAAAATTTTTATAACCTCAGCCATATGACTAGAGAGGGTATATCATTTGATACGGCCAAAATGCGCCTCATTGAAATAACGTTTTTAGACCCTAGGTTTCTTTGAACCAAATCCGTTTCAGGACATTTTGAGTCAATCTAGCGATGTTCGCCCATTCCTTTGGCTATCTGACTAGCTGGTGCGCACGACAACTCACAGAGGGATTATACGATTTGGTCCAAATTTGGTAAATCGTAATATTATTATCAAGCATCAACTTTTAGAATAAGTTTACATTTGTTCGAATTGGTCAACTTTGACACGAACTATGGCCTTCAAACGGCCAATGAAACCGTCACACGCTGCCCGAATGTTGATCTGCGGTATTTTGGTCCATTCCCGGCGAAGCGCTAGCTTGAGGTGATTGACACTTTGTTATTTTTTTTAGTGCCAACCTTGCTTTCCAAATACTCCAGACACAATAGTCCAACGGATTGGTATCGGAGAACCTCATTTTTTAACCATTCTGGGGTGGCGCGTGCTGAGTGTTATGGTGCTGAGTCCTGTTGGAATGTCCAGGGTCTGCGGCCAAAATGTTTGCGTGCCCAATGCTTTAATATACGCTACAGAATATTTTCGCGATAATATTCGGCATTTATTCCGATGCCACTGTCGATTAATACGAGCGGAGAGCGACCATCGGCTGTTATGGCGGCCCACACCATCAACATGGCCGGCGCTTGAATTCTGGTGGGCAACCGAAGATGCACATTTTCAGCTGACCTCTTCGGCAAGTAAACACGATCATTTTGATTTCAATCTATTTTATTTCTATTGCGGTGTAAGTTCTTGCACTTTTTGAATTTCCATGGCAATTGTTCCAAATGTTGACCCTTTGTGGGGGAGGTACGTGATGGAGTGGACCAATATTGTCCATTTTCGCTCCTGACTTAGCACTCATGCAAATACAGGATGAGATGAAAAAACTGCAACCAACTTCAGACTGTTGTCACTTCTAAGCAAAATTAAAATTATTTCAGTGACAGCTCATAACATTGTTTACAAGCGTACAAAGCAGTTTTGGTGAGAATTTTTCAGAAAAAAAGTGATTCGTGATGGAATTCAAGCGTGATAGTGTGATTTCTTTATATTTTTATTTGGAAAACCACAAGTGGATGTCGTTAGAGCACTCCAGCATTTAAATGTGAATAAATCTTTTGTGTCTCGTACCATCGCTCGTAACCGTGATACTGGTAGCGTAGCTCGACGTCAAGGAATTGGACGGCAACATCAGCAGAAATTTGGTTCGAAAAGTACAGAAGCGAATTGATCGAAACCATTGCAGAGGCCGAAAAATGGCTCGCAATATTTCATTCTGTAAATGTTGAAAAATGAGCACAGGGTAAAGCCATTGAAATTCCGAAAAGTGCAAGAACTTACACCGCAACAAAAAGGCCGAAAGTGGTGAACGGCCGATTATGGTTTTCTCCGATGAGAAAGCATTCGTTGTCCAGCAGTTTGTAAACAAAATAAATGATCGTATTTACTTGCCATTACTTGCGTGGCCTTACTTGATCGTTGGCCACCAGAACTCATGCGCCGGTCATGGTGGTGGTGTAGGCCGCCATAACAGCCGATGGTCGCTCTCTGCTCGTATTAATCGACCGCGAAAATATTCTGGAGGGTATATTAAAGCCTTGGGCACGCAAACATTTTAGCCGCAGACCTTGGACATTCCAACAGGACTCAGAACCATCGCACTCAGCTCGCGCCACCCAAGAATGGTTACAAAATGAGGTTCCTTGCTTCATTTCCAGCACACAATGGTCACCAAATTCTCCGGATACCAATCCGTTGGACTATTGTGTCTGGAGTATTTTGGAAGGCAAGGTTGTCACTAAAAATACCAAAGTGTCGATCACCTCAAGCAAGTGCTTCGCCGGGAATGGTCCAAGATACCGCAGAACAGCGTTCGGGTAGCGTGTGATGGTCGCCTTTGGCACGGTATTCGGGTAGCGTTTTCGTGCCCAAGGCCACCAATTCGAACAAATCTAAAATTATTCTAAAATTTGATGCAATTTCCGATATTTTTTGCTTCATTCAATAAAATTTAAAAAAAAGAAAATATGGCGTTTGACTTTGTTGCAGTTTTTATATTTCATGCACTATACAGGGTGAGATCAAAAAAAAAATCAAACGCCATAATTTTTACATTTTTTTAATTTTGTTGAATTAAAGCAAAAAAAGTCGGAAACAGAATAAAGTTGTACAATTAAAAATATTTCTTGGAACAATAGATATACCGGGTGGAGTTTTACCAAATGGATAAATTCAGTGGAATATGGGAAAATCTATTCAATTTCGGCTGATACGTGATGGTGAGCAATAACCGTTAAATTGTATGAAGACACATGTCGAAGCTAAATAAAAATCTGAACCGATGTCGATGGAATTTGGCAGATGTATTTTCGAGCTGTATGTTTATCTGAAACTATTTTTAACAAAATTTGAAGAATTTGTTTTTAAGCTGAATTCCGTCAGAAGTGCCAAAATTCAGTCCATTTGGTCTGATATTGGCCATTTGGTGCATAATTAGCCGAAATCGGTTAAAGATATTTATGGGAGCTATATCTAAATTTGAACCGATTCTCATGCAATAGGTTTCGTCTTCGGGCCAAATAAATAATATTTGGAAAGTTTCATCTTAATCGCATGATAATTGCGACCTGCATTTTGTTCACAAAAATACATGGACAGATGCACTGACATGCATAAATCGACTCAGAAAGTGATTCTCTGAAGATCCTCAGAGGTAACTATGAGACTGTATCACTCCATGTTACAAACAAATGTAAAAAGACATAATACCCTTAACACTTTGTGGTGTAGTGTATAAAAAGTTATTTTATTTTTCCATGAAATTATTTAGTTATTTTTGGTTCCAAATAATCTTTGCCGAATGTTAACTGGCTTGTTATATACAGAATATCAAGTCGATATAATAAAATACTGAACTCTAGTGACTGAGAGTTTAAACTAGGCCAAACATAGAAACCAAACTATTTTTTTATTCTATTTATTCTTGACGCTGCTCATTTCCCATCAAAATTCAAATAACTATTCAAGTTAAAATATATATCCCACATACCCCCATATCAACAATAGAATGGCGATTATGATAATGTGTGTGAATTGACAACTACATACGCTCGAGCACATTCGCATTGTTATTTGAATTTATTTATAATTTTTTATTTGGCGTTTGCACAGTTTTATTATTTCTATTCTTAATCGCCTTCCGTTTATTGCCTTAGCGATTTAAGCGCGTACAATATAAATATTCCAATACTAATTTAATGCGAGCGATCTCCACGTTTTGTTTTTCCGGCGCACAGAGGCAGCAGCAACAACAACAACAAAAAAAGGAGAAATCCCATTAACACTTTGCAAACCACTTAACGGTAGAAACTAAATTTGTTTTGAACATTGAATTTTTACGAACATCATTTGCATACATATCCATCCACACACCTCCCGTACCCAAATAAAAACAACCCGTGCCAAACGTTTTCGAATCCACTGCTTGTATGTCGTTGCATGTTTTTGTCACACACACACGCACACATACGTACAGAGGACAACACTCGCTCACTCACTCTCTTACTCAATAACACGATTAGAGCATGAAACGTACTCGAATTGGGTTTAGCAGTAGTATTAGCAATTTTCAACATGTTTTCGTTTCAATCTAATAAATTTTGAAGCAAAACCAGTGCCGGCATAAGTGTGTGTGTGCGAGTGGGTAGTTGGGCATGAGTATGTCTGTGTGTGACTAGGTGTGTACATGTGTGGCAATTGACACCAGAGATGGGCATAATGCACTGTATTTTTAGTGCACTAATAATTTCACTATCACTATTCATTTAGTGGTAGTGCAATTTTTAATTCCACTACCACTAAAGGGTTAGTGGTAGTGAAAAATAAATTGCACTACCACTAACGCTTTAGTGATATTTAAAAAAGAATTGCACTACCACTAAATTTTAGTGGTAGTGAAATTTCAATAGCACTACCACTAAATTTAGTGGTATTTGAAAAAACTTGCACTAAATTAGTGGTATTTCATAAAAAATAGCACTAAATTAGTGCTATTTAGAAAAGTAATCAAATTTTATGAATATGTACTATATATTCTGGATTGTTGTTCCCTACTCACTTCAATAAAATTCATTATAGCTGGTATAATATTTATATACATAGTGCTTTTCTTGGCTTCGCCAAATTTTAGTGGTAGTGCAAATTTTTTTTTGAAAAATCACTAAATTTAGTGGTAGTGCTATTAAAATTTCACTACCACTAAAATTTAGAGGTAGTGCAATTTTTTTTTAAATATCACTAAAGGGTTAGTGGTAGTGCAATTTATTTTTCACTACCACTAACCCTTTAGTGGTAGTGGAGTTAAAAATTGCACTACCACTAATTATTTGATTCTTAGTGCACTAAAAATTTAGTGCAATATGCCCAACCCTGATTGACACATATGCCGCAGCATAATTGGTGATGGCATGTTGTAAAGTCACACGACATTCATATTTGACATCGTGAATTTAAAAGAGGGAAATCCAGTTATTGTAAGGATGGATTCAGGTATTATTTGGTAGATTCTATCAGAGAGTCAAAAGTTATAAGGCGACTAATATTCTCACGTATCCAGACCGTTTAAACCCTTAAAAGCTTTTTTATCCCCCAACGAAGGAAGACTCCACTCGAATAAAAGTATTTTAAAACTTTTGGATATCTCTCCTGTTTGGTGTAGAC